AAATAATAATAATTACTTAATATAATCATATCTAAAAAATATCTTCATTATTTTGTTAATCAACGTTATATCATACAAATTTTATAACTCACATTCAACTCATAAATATTAAAACTTATAGGTGGTGAAATGTGTTTAAAAAATATTTTTTAAAACTCATTTTAAGTTAATAAATTTTATTTTGAAAACTTTATATATCTGTTATTATACTTTATAAATATAGAAGATGAAATAAACTTATAAATTATTATTAAATAGGTGAATGAAATAATTCGAGATTGCTCAAATTAGAGACACGGGCGGGTGGGCAAACTTGTACAAGTAAAGAGCTCCATCGGTGAGGATCTCCAATTCGTCAGGAATTTAGGACCTAATTTTTTAATTTTAACTCATGCATTGTACAAAAGCCGCTGTTCCTTTCGCGCCTTACATTGCATACAAAACGCACGCACAAAAGCCCGACTCCTTTCTCTCGAATGTAGACTATCCCCGACTAAAACCCCACCAAACCCATTGACTTTCAACACCTCCACCCGCCTTCTCTCTCTCATCAACAATAAAAACAATCAATACTCTTTTCTCTCTCTCATTTTCCACCTCTCTCACATAAGAACCCAAACACCCAATACCCTTTTCTCTCTCACATAAGAACCCGACTCCCTTTTGTCTCTTATGTAAAACAAAACACCCAACTCCCTTTTCTCTCTCAAATAAAACACCCAACACCCTTTTGTCTCTTATGTAAAACAAAACACCCTTTTGTCTCTTATGTAAAACAAAACACCCAACTCCCTTTTCTCTCTCACATAAAACACCCAACACCCTTTTCTCTCTCACACAAGAACCAAAACACCCAACTCCCTTTTCTCTCTCACACAAGAACCAAAACACCCAAGACCCTTTTCTCTCTTCCATCTCCCATCAAGAACAAAAAACACCCACTTCTCTTTTTCAAATGGAATAATTTCTCTCTCTTCAAAAACACGCATTTCTCTCTCTTCAAAAACGAAAACACTCACGTCCCTTCTCTTTCTACAATAAAAGCATCTCTACAAAAGCACCCACCTTCTTCCTCTACAAAAAAACCTACCTTCTTTCTCTACAAAAACGCCCACAAGAGCTCACGTCCATTCTCTTTCTACAACAAAAGCATCTAACTTCACATCCATTCTATTTCTATACCTCCAAAACACCCACAGAAACACCTCACGTCCATTCTCTTTTCATCCAGAAAAAATCTGGAGACCGATACAAATTAAGATGGCAACCTTCCGGCGCTCGCTGCTTGGTGTCCAAACAACAAAAGAAAATTCAGGTAGAATGATTACTTCTTACTTTCGACATGATTTCTGATTAAAGACTACAAAGCTTATGTTTTACGTACCCTCATACTCACGGATTTGATATTGGATTTCAAATTCTTTGTTCATTCTCTACATCTTCCTCTGCGATGAGATAGTTTCTCTTCGATGAAGCTCGCATTCAAAATTGTATATTCTATCTTCAGACTCTTTCTCCCTTGTTTTTGCTGCTTTGTTTGTCTGGACCGGTACCGATTGAGTTGAACTTGCCGAGCAAGTGATGGTGGACGCCAAGTCACTCATGGAAGGTAGTTTATTGGTGGCTGTGTCCACACCTTTGTAAACTTGCATTTTGTTCGGATTGATGAACTGAGAGCGGGCAAAGTGTGCAGTACCCAAGCCAAGGGAAAGGAGGGACCCTCAGTTCTTCAACTCAAATAAAATACCAAAAAAAAGGAGGGACTTTTAGCGAGTTAACGTCCACAACTCGGTTCAACTTAGTTCAACTAGGGAGTTGGCGTCCACAACTCAGTTCATCAACTTGTATTTTATCTGAGCTACTCTTAGCGAAAAGTCCCTTGAGTTGATAAAATGTTGTGTGAAAGCAAGCTATGAATTTGAATTTGTAGTCTCAAATTCAGATACACTCCTCTCAATCTTATGTTGCCAAACAGATCACTATAAATTTAAATTCAAGTATCCAAATGCACTTTATGGAAATGATATATATTCTCTAAAATTTCAGTTTGGATGTCCAGAAAGTAATGGAAAATAGCGGTTCATTTTATGTTTTTCTTTTTATTTGCTACTTCTCTTCGATTGTTAATCATATATAATTAGTCTGATCTGATTTTTTTTTAATGTTAGTCTGATCTGAATTTATTGGTTTTTTTTGCTGAGAAAACAGAAAAGTATTTAAAGAAAATTTGAAAATCCGAACTGTAACATTTTTCCTATTAGCCAGTTTCATTTTTCCGGTTGACTTCTAATATGTAGTTGGTTTACTGAGACATTTTCTTTTTTCCTTCAAACAGTTGGAAGAAACCTAGAGCAGAACGGGAAGAAGAAGGACGTGGATACCCCGTCACTGACCCGGGTAATAATAAATTATTCTAAAATTATTTATATTCTTTTTGTGAATGACACGCACTTTCTTCCCTCATTTATTTATTTATTTTTCATTCCATTTCTTCTTCTGAATATAGGACTGTGTATATTGATATGACATTGCGGTTCTGAAGAAAATTCATTTTTTTGTGTGAATTACACAAGCTTTTTTTCCTCACTCATTTATTTATTTATTTATTTTTCAGAAGCGTTTCTTTTTCTTCTTCTGAATAGTGTCCCAAATATATGGTATGACATTGCCGTTCTGAAGAAAATA